AACATTTTTGGAAAAAAAAATGTTTTTGGCATTTTGCCACTTTTTGGGGGATCTCCCACTGATGCAAGGAACATGAATGTGGATGAAGATCAGAAATCCAAACTGCAAATCACACTCAAGTCCATGTAGACAAAGCAAAAGCAGATAGCGTGGGCCTGGGTCCCAGTTGCTCTGCCCAGGCGCAGTACAGTTAAGGGCCAAGGCTGCACAGTTGTGTCTCTTTCCCCTGATCATCGTCCAGATTCAGACAGTGGACCAGTTTCCCTTTGGCAAATTCGGCATCCAACCTGCATTTGCAGAATTCTGGACTTCGTGTATCCAACCAACTCGCGTGCACCCAACCAGCTGGCATGCTGAGACTGTATAGCCCCCACTTAATGAAATGTCGAATGCAGGGCCTTCTGGGCATTTACAGGCCCGCCTTCACTTAGGGCGGGCACGAGGCTTGATGGGGGCCTTAGCCCAGTACATATGCAATCCTCACACTGACATGCACGTACGACACAACTGTGCAGAACAACACACACACACACACACACGCACACACACACACACACGCACACACACACACACACACACTGTGACATGCATGCACACACACACACACACACACACACACACACACACACACACACACACACACACTGTGACATGCAGACACACACACACACACACACACACACACACACACATTGTGACATGCATGCACACACACACACACACACACACAGAGTGACGATGACCTTACCCTAGGGGCTAAACCAACTGGCTGACTAGCAATTTCACACACACATACACGAGATATTGACTCGATGACAGGCCAACAATGCACGCATCGTATGAAGACAAGGTCATCAATGTCAGTCACAGATACACGAAATTGAAACATCAAAGCCCAAGTTTCATGCTACAACCATCGATGACAGAACACATCCCTCACCTCAGTAGTGAACATCGCTCTAGTCCTCCTCGTGCCCATTACCATCTGAGTTATCGTCATGTCCACTCTGGTCCTCTCCCCGGACACGAGTCTCACTATCCCTCTCATCCACGTAGTCACTACCAGAAAAGCCATCACTTGAGGCGGCATCTGAATCGTCGTCAATGATACGAGTGGATTTCGTACTGCGAATTTCACTCGAGGCCTGAGACCTCGTGTGACCACCCACCGTCACATCAATGCATGCAGTGGTGCCCTGCCCAACATTGTCCTCACCCGCGTCGTCTGCCCCCAATGCACTCATCGCCCATGAATCACGACCCCTGCCTCGACCCCTGCCTGATCCTGAGCCTCGCGGGCGACCACGAGGTCTGCCTGTGCCACCCTGCGATCGTGGAGGAGGTGGTAATGCGCCTCCGTCATCCTCCCTCCTCCTCTTCCTGCCTGCACGACTTGTCTTCACATTATCAACAATGGCTGATGGAAGTCGTGCAGGGAGCGGTGGCATGCGTAACGGACTACACACAGGAGGGGCAGCCGCCGCTGACGAAGTGGATGCTCGACTCGAGTGCGCAGTCGGGCGTCGTAAAGTCACCGATGGGGGGTGGTGTAGGGAACTGCCACGGGACACTGCGGGAGATGAAGTGCCACCACCATGACGTCCAACTGTCGTCGATCTGCCGAGAAAATGAACACTTGCTGCATCGGGTGATGGTGTGGTGCGTGTGGGCATGGGCAGAATCCCATAGAATGAGGCAGTCGGCAGTCTAACATCACTCTCCCTCCCGCCCCCCCTCCTCTGTAGCAACCTGAGCACCCTCACTCTGGATCATACTCTCGCGTGTAGATGCTACACCCCTCCTCTCGCTGCCCCTGTCCTCCATCCGTCGAACTACGCTCTCGTCCATGGTAACATCCACCTGAACCTCCAAGCTGTGTCCATCCCTCCGCTCTCACCGGTGTTCAATCCTATGGTCAGCCATCTGCTCCGCCCTGTCCTGCATCATCTCATCTACCCTCTGCTCCACCCTCTGCTCCGCACCAAGCTCTGCGACAGACGCTGGTAATGGGTCCGCCCTGTCATCCACCATCTGGCTCACGTGCGCTGAGGAAGCACAACCAATCCTCTGCTCCGAGGTCTGAACCACTGTAGGACGAATGACGTCACTGACCCTACGCTCTCCACCTCCGCCCGCCACCAGTCTATCACCATCCCCGCCACGTAGCACGACCCTCTGGACAACCGACTGAGTGATGCTCTGTGAACCGCCGCCTCGATGTACAACCTGCTCAGCGACCTGGCGCACGTGGTGTGTGTCCTCCAGCCTCTCATCTGCATGATGACCCTCCCTCCCAATCATCTCCTCCTCTGCCCCTCGCAGAATCCTCTCAGCAGCGTAATGGGGTGCTGCAGGAGCCGACATACGTGCATCAACTGGAACACCCGCAGTATGTCCTCCCACTTTGACAATCGACGAATGTGGAATGTGCTGACCTCTCTCCTCCTCCTGCCCTACCTCTGTGCCGCTTGCCTCGCCATCCCTGGTCAAAAACTCCTCCAAATCTAACCGACCCCCAACCCTCCCCAGTAGACTCCTCACGGTATCCACACTCTGCCCGATGTAGGCGTCGAAATCGGTGTGAGGGTCTGCTCTACCCCACTCGTCCAATAAGTCATGCTGGTCCTCAGGCAACGTACAGCTCGCATCTCTCCGCTCCTGCTGCGCCTCCATCATCTCTCTGTGCATCCACACCGCATCCTGCCAAAGGGCCTCATCACCCTCCTCATCCTCATCCTCATCCTCCATCGGTGCCTTCCCCTTCCCAAATTGATTAAGGCCCTCCTTCCTCCTGTTCCTCCTGTCGATCTCCTCCCACTCCTCCTCTTACACCTCTGCAAGGACACTGTCGTCACCTTCGATCTCCTCCGCGAGGTCCTCCACCTGGTCCTCCCACACATCAATGTACCGCCTGTCCCTCCTCCTGCTGGCACTGAGAAGCTGCAAGTTCCAGTGAATGAAAACCAGCTTCTCGACACTCTCTGCAGAAAGGCGGTTCCTCCTCTTCGTGTGGATGAAATCGTGGGTGGACCAGTTCCTCTCGCAAGGACTGGCCGTGGACCACATACCCAAAACCCTCTTCGCAATCGTCTGCAGTCTCGGCTCCTGACCACCGTGAAGCTCCCACCACATCGTTGCATGCATCCCCCCCTCTGCCGCGTCCTTCACCGCAAACTCGTCCCACCAATGCGCTCCACTCCTCGGCCAATAGCGAGGGTCCTCGCAATGGAAAGTCCACAATGCCTGCCAAAGCTTATGCAAAGAATCAGACTCCCAACCTGCACCCTGCCAGCGAGCCAAGTGGTCTAGCGCGCTCTGCACGACTGGGTTGTTGCGGTCCGTCAGCAACGAGATATCACGACGGCGAGGATCCAACGGATACGCAGCCGCATGGGCAGGCTGACGCATCATCCTGCATCTGTCGGATATGATATCCATGATCGCCCTCCTCTCATCCTTTGTCAGTCCAAGGCTCCTGACCCTCCCCCGCAATATGCTCTCCAAATCCCACAATCCTGTGGGTGATGACCCATCCCTGTCCATATTCCTGAGGAACCTGTAGCACGGGGCCATGACGTCCACGACCATCTTCACCCTCTCCCACCAAGACTCGTCTCTGCACATCCTGCGCACCTCGGGCTCATCCCTCCTCGCATCCCCTGTCCATCGCACTTGCGCCCACAACTCCCTTGACACGAGCTTGTCTAACACACCCCTCTGCTCATATAGCCTCTCCAGCATCATGAACGCTGTCCCAAATCGTATCTCCGCTGGTCGCTTCAGTACTAGCGCATTCCTCATGGCCTTGTGAAGGGCTAGGGCTCGCTGTTTGTTGCGCATGAGCTTGACTAACTTGTGCGCCTTCTTCATTACAGTGGCCGCCCAAGGCTGCGACGCAATGTCCCTCAGCAGTAAGCTCAAGCAATGTGCTGCACACGGGATCCAAGGTATGTGACGCATAGCCGGGTCGGGGTGTGACTGCAAGATGCCGGTTGCTGTCTTCATCACTTCTGCGTTGTCGGTGCAGATGGCATTCACTTTGTCAATGCCAATGTTATCTCTGATCACCCCTCCCATATGTCTTCCAGGCCGACTCCCGTCTTCTCCCGATGTGACATGTCGATGGTCCGGATGAGGATGGGTCCGGACTGTGCTGCTGCTATGAAGTTCATGATGGGCTTGTTGGTCGTGTCAGTAGCCCCGTCTGTGAGCAGCGTGCATCCTATGGTAGCCCACTTTGCCTTTTTAGGTGCAATGAGGGTTGCTACCTCGTGAAAAATTATGTCCATCATCCTTATGCGGACTCCCTCGTATGTCAGCAGCTGTGGCACCGGCACGATCGAAGGACGCAAGAGTGTGACTATGTAGTTCCAATAGTCTTGCGTCTCCCTCAACCGCAACCAGTTGAAGGGTACTCCACGTCGATCGATAGAATTGGCCAACAGACGATCAAGATCTTGTTGGACCTTGCTCCCTAGATGAATATCTAGGGTCGTTTGTCTCCTCCTCGGCACCACCTGTGTGGAGGTGGTGGCCGTCGTGCCAGTAACCCGAGCTCCCCCTCCATCCCCTCCACCATCTCCTACACCTTCAACGCTTCGCAACTTATCTGTCACAGTCCCGACATCCTGCCCCTGCTGTGTACCACCCTCACCACGATCACCGTCTCCAACTCCTCCTGCACAATCCCGCACCGGGTCACATGGCTCGTCAAACTGCTGCAGGTCCTCAGCGGCAAGCTTTCCATCCATCCTGTCTGCGTGCTCAGCAGCCAGTCTGAGTGACAATGCATCCCTCAGCAAAGCACCAACCGCTTGCAGTTTATACAAAATCTCCCCATTCCGTCAGGGGCAGTGTGCCTTCGGTTTCGTGAAGTGCTCCACTGCTCTGGACATCGAACCCATGAACACCTCCCCACAAAGTCGGCAGCGCAGGAGGAAGTTGCCTCCGCCCGTCAACCCCCACTCCTGCCCCCTTTCCGCCCACTCCCACACCACATGTGTTCGCCTCAGTTCTGCTTGCTTGTGGGCAGCCACTGGCACGAATGGAGGGAGTTGCCCCCCTCGTGGCCGTCTACTGCCTGTCGCCATGACTACGACGGGGAGGAACAGGATAGCGACTGGCCGCCTATGAACGCTGGCCAAGGAATGACTGATTGCTAACTCTCCAATTCCTTGAATCGGTGTCGAATCCTGTGAGACCACTGCGTCAGCCTGGCATGCAGCAAAGGTTCAAGCTGCATGGACAAACCAAGACAGCCATGGAGTTAGATACGGGCGCATTTGTTCATTGAGTGCTTAATCGAGTGATAGTCTCTATTGATTGATTGATTGATTGATTGATTGTTTGACTGATTGATTGATTGATTGATTGATTGATTGATTGATTGATATAGTAATTCTTTGATAGATCTCCGCCATCACCCTCACGAAGTCCGCAATCAACCGATCTAACTGAACGAATTCAATCAATCACCCTATCAATCAATCAATCAATCAACCAACCAATCAAACATTCATTCGGGACCCCCCCTCCTCCTCCTCCTCCTCCGTCTCGCCGCTAAATTGACTCCCTTCGTTTCAGACATCGGAACCCCCGCTCTCCTTCTTTTTTTTTTTTTGCCCACATCCGTCGCCACATCCGAACCAACCAATCAATCAATCAATCAATCAATCAATCAATCAAGTCTCATCGATTCTGTTGATTCGACAGGATTTTGACGACAGGATTTTGATCTGTCAAGATCCTGTCGAATCAACAGATTTGACGGGACTTGATTGATTGATTGATTGATTGGTCGGTCGGGATGGATGTATGCACACACATGTATGTAGGAGGGGAAAAAAAAAGACTGATCAATCAATCCCATCCGACCGACCAATGATAAAAGATCGACCAATCAATCCCTATCTTTTTTTTTTTTTCCTCCTATATCCGTCGCCACCAATCCATCCATCCCGACTGACCGACCAATCAATCAATCAATCAATCAATCAATCAATCAATCAATCAATCAATCAATCAATCAATCAATCAAGTCCCGTCGAATCTGTTGATTCGACAGAATCTTGAACTGTCAAGATCCTGTCAAATCAATAGATTTGACAGGACTTGATTGATTGACTGATAGATTGATTGATTGATTGATTGATTGATTGATTGATTGATTGATTGGCGGTTGGGATGGGTGGATGGGTGGCGACGGATGTGGGC